ATACAGACTTGAAGGAGAGTACCCAAATGAACCCAATTCTAAATTAAGCCATGAAAAGCACAGAATTTTCTCTAGCTGAAATTAGAGATGTGGCAGAAGTGGCCATTGCTGGAAGGGGCCACACAGAAAAGGAACAACCTCTAGGAACAAAAACTGACCCCCGGCAAAAAAGCCAGGAAAGAAAGAGGACATCTCAGTCTTACAAGCACAAGGAAGTGAATTTGGCCAGCAGTCTGAATGGGTTTGGAAGCAGAATCTATTCCAGAGCCTCCAGCAAGAAATGTATACTGACAATATCTTGATTTTAGTCTTCTAAAAGTGTTGTTTCAAGATGCTAAATGTGTGTAATTTTTTTGTAGCAGTAGTGTAAAAATAATACACAAGAGGCAATCTGGCAAAAAGAAAAAGAAAAAGCAGGATGTGGTAGTGCATGCCTATAATCCCAGCAACTCAGGAGGCTGCAGCAGGAGGAAACCAAGTTCAAGGCCAGCCTCAGCAACTTAACAAGACCCTTACTAATAAGGGTGTTAACTTAATAAGACCCTTAACTCAAATAAAATTAAAAGGGCTGGGGATGTAGCTCAGGTGTAAGGCACCTCTGAGGGTTCAATCCCCAATAGGTGCCCCATACAAATGGAAAAGGAACAACTTCAGATCTCCTGGAAGCACAAGGAAACTGAATTATGAAGTATCCATTGGTTGATCTCAACAGCAAAAGGAAACTTTTCAATGTTCCCCCAGCCCTCTGACACTTCTCCAGCCCTCTCTCCTGACTGGTGATGAGGGTTATCCCTTGAGATTTCACCTAGAAGTAACTCAAATGCTTCAATAAAATGCTGTTCAATGATTCTGCAACGTCTGCAGACCTCTCCAGAGGCTATGCTGTGGTGATACCAAGGAGCCACTAACACTACAGTCCCCACTTCTTCCACAGTACTAAGGTTTCCCAGCATTCAGCCAGCTTCCTTTCTTCCACACTGTTTCATCCCACCCCCAGTTAGTCATCCAGGATTGTCCACAACCTTCCCTTTCTCTGGAATCCTGTCTTCCTCTTTCAGTTTCTACCCTAAGCAGGCCTTTATAATCTCCTAATTAAGTCATCCCACAACGATTTTACAGATAAATGTGATAGACAGTAATCTAGCAGAGGGGAAAACAGGATGAAGGACAGGTGTGTGTCCCCCAAGAGCTTAATAAAACTCCCCAAACAGCCTAAATGGCCTATCTTCTGTCCTTGATTCATTTCCAAGGACTCGGGGGATCTTCCCAACACGACCTGCATTTCACCACCTCAAAGTAGGCCACTTATCAAATACAGGCTAAACTCCTTAGCACAACACTCCCAATCACTAACATGACAGCACTGGGTCATCTCATCCATTATCTCCAGGACCTCCTTACTCCCCAACCCTAGAACTCTCAGCCCCAACAAGGTCCCTTATGCAATTAAGTGCTCTCATTTCCCCAGTCTTCTGCTTGGAATGGTAGTATTTCACACTCCTACAAGCCTTGCTAGGACTCAGTTTGTTCATCACCTACTCCACAAGGGTGCTCCTGGTCGGCTAACTGCGACTTTGCAAGAAGCCCCTGCAGCACCCACAGCCTAAGGGAGCACTGCAAGGAACTGTTCCTCTACTGACAGTTCCATCTCCCAGGGCAGTGGTTGTGTTTCTGGCAATTCTGTGGTGAGCACAACTCTCCAGTAAGCTCAGTTAAAAACTGCTAAATTAAACAAGTACTCAGTGGTGAGGGACTGGAGTTCCGTTGGGAGGAGACACCAACTCCAGTTCTTCACCAGCTCCTCCAGAATCAAAGATCACTTCCTGACAGCCGCTTCCTGCCACTCTTTGGCCAAGTTCCTACTACTCTGACGGGTCATCCTTAGCTTCTCAGTCCCTACCGCCCACAGCTCACACACACACTCTCACTTTCTTCCCCTCCCCATGTATATTACATATACCCCCCTCCCGGAAAAAAAAATCCTGAAGTGCTTTTCTGGAAGAGAAACCACGAAACACCTGGTAAAACCACTACGGGCTGCCTCTTTCCCTTTCCGTATCCAGTGTGAACCAAAGCGGGGGAAAGCCCGCACCCAAAGCACACAAATGACGAATGAGAAAACCCAGGACGATGACTCATAAGCCAAGGCTCCATGGTTTGCAGAGTTCAGACCTGGAAAGCTAACAAGCAGCCTTACCCACCAACAGAGGAGGTAACCACCGAGGGCCACGCCCTTGGGCTCACGAAAGTCGTGAGTACCTTTCATCTCTAGGTGCCCTGGAGACCCCGCAGGTTCCCGGGCCGGGATCTAGAATTGGGTCCAGCCTCGGCCTCGCCCCCCGCGCGAGAAAGGAATGTCCGGCCATCCAGTCCCCCGCCCCAGCCCCTACTCACATTTGACTAACCAGCTTCTGCCGGAAGGCGGCGCTCCGCCAATCGGTCTCCTGCCCCGATACGTCCATGCCGGTAACCCAGTTCCCACAAGCCGCGTCCCACCCCTCCTCCTCCTCCGCTGCCGCCGCCGCAGCCGCTGCCGCCTCTACCGTAGAGCCAGGCCCAAACCCGGAAGACGTCCGCGGATCCTTGGCCGCACCGGAAGTAGAGCATGTATTGTGGGAAATGGAGTCACGCGCGAGGGCCTACGGGAAATGGAGTTCTCCTTACCTGTTGTTAGCTTTCCCAGACCCTGGCACCAGGGAGTCATGCGCCCTCTCCCGGAGCGGCGGTCTTTCGTGGCCTGCACCCTATTTGGAGCTGGAGAGAGTGGTTGCTGCATGGAACTCCCTGTGCCGTCCGCTGGAGGGGCTGGCCTTTTAACATTTTCTATGACCCTACTGTGTTTTGGCCTCATCAAGTCCTTGAGGTCTGAATCCCTCAGGAATAGCCAAACTGCCAGTCAGATGTCTTCAGCAATACTTGGGAGAGGGTCTTTCTTTTTTTTCCTTCTTTTTTGGGGGATCGAACCCAGGGGTACTTTACCACTGAGCTACATTTCCAACCCCTTTAAAAAAATTCGAGACAGGGTCTTGCTAAGTTGTCCGCGCTGACCTCAAACTTGTGATCCTCCTGACTCAGCCTCCCTAGCTACTGCTCCAGAGAGGGTGCTTCTTTATCAAATAGGTGTGTGAAAGGTTCTGTTCCCTGCCTTCCTGTGACTGCCAGAACTGTGTCTGAGGAGTGAGTTACCACTCTCGTGACTCTTCTTTCCATTGGATCTGTAATCTCAGATTCTACCCATGGCTTTATTTTGTGACAAACTACGTTTGTTAATTTTCAGTCTTCATATTGAGCTTTCTTCTTGTCCCTGTTATAGAGAACACATTCAGCCCAGTTGGTCCCTGGAGGACTGACATCAAAACAGAGTGAGTGGGAGGCCGAATGAGAGGATTCTGGGGTTCTGAGTATAATTTTATGAGGATAAAATTTCTCCACATTGGACCAATGGACTTATCTTGTGCTCATGGGTGGGGGGTTGGGGGTGGTGTGAGGTGACTTCACAAGAGCAAGGTAAATACAAATCTGACCTTCAGAGAGTAAGTATACTGGCACCTAATGATGCACACTGAATTCTAGGCCCCATCTGGGCTATGTAGACCCCTTGTCTCTTAGCCTTAGGCAGGAAAAGGGTGGGGTGGGAAGGGTGTGACCAAATTCCCCAAAGGAGCCCCTCTTGCCATCAGAGTTTCAGATCTTGCATTGATGTGAAAGCTTTTCACATCTTCAAACTTTTTTGCTATCATTCTCCCAAAATAATTTGTAAAAAATTATACCTAGGTGTGATCAACTTGTCCTGGTTTGCCTGGGATTTTGCAGGTTTTTAGTTCTGAAAGTGCTGAGTTCCTGTAATCACCTCAGCTCCAGGCCAACCAGAATGATTGATCACATTATCTGCACCACCCCACTTGTATATTTTTTAATTGTGATATAATTCACATACCATAGAGTGGTTCTCGATTTTAGGAAATCCTTTTTCTTTTCATACTGAGGATTGAACTCAGGGACATTTTACCACTGAGCTATATCTCTGGTCCCTTTTATTTTGTGACAGGTTCTCACAGAGTTGCTGAGCATCTTGCCGAGATGCTGAGACTGGCCTTAAACTTGAAATCTTCCTGACTCAAACTTTCAATTAGCTGGCTGGGATTATTAGCATGCACCACTGTGCGTGGCCAGTTCACCTTTTTTCCTTTTTAATTCACTTTTTTTTGTGTGTGTGTGTATTTTTTATTTTAATTAACTGTACATGATAGTAGAATACATTTATGCATTTTGATATATCATACATAGATGGGATATAATTTCTCATTTTTTCTGAGTGTACATGTTGTAGAATCAAATTGATCATACAGTCACATATATACATAAAGTAATAATGTCTGTTTTATTGTACATGCCCTCCCCTTCCTTCCCTTCCTATCCCCACGTCCCCTCCCCTTTCCTCCCTTCACTCACTCTACCTAATCTAATGTAACACTATTCTTCTCTAGTGCCTCCTGCCTTATTATGAAACAGCATCCACATATTAGAGAAAACATTCAGCCTTTGGTTTTTTGGGATTGGCATATTTCACTTAGCATGATATTCTCCAGCTTCATCCATTTACTGGTAAATGCCATAATTTCATTCTTCTTTAAAGCTGAGTAATATTCCATTGGGGGGAAAATATCACACACACACATACACACACACACCACATTTTCTTTATCCAGTCATCTATTAGACACCTTGATTGGTTCCATATTTTAGGGATTGTGAATCCAATTTAGAATTTTCAAGTCTATTCACATATTCATAAAGCAGTGTAACTGTTACAATCTTTTGTACATTTTTTTTTTCAATACTGGAATGAACCCAGAGCCACTTTGCCACTGAGCTATACACCCAACCTTTTTTTATTTTGAGTTGCTGAGGCTGGCCTTGAACTTGAAATCCTCCTGCCTCAACCTTTTAGTAGCTAGGATTACAGGTGTACACTGAAAGGCGAGTGACTCACCAAGACACAGATTCAACCAAGAGACTTTATTGGGGGGCTGTCCGAAGGGGAAGAAAAGGAGAGGCAGAGAGCAGAGAGAGAAGAGGAGAGCAGAGAGAAATAGACCAGAGAGCAGGGAGAGAGAGAAAGAAGAGGAAGAGGTAAGAGTGGAAGAAGGCAGAGAGCTTGCAAGCTTTGGCTTAAGAAGGGTTGTATAGGTGACATGGCAGGTGCTGATTGGCAGGGTGACTCAGGAATAGCAAGCAGACACTGGGTCCTGTGGGGATTGGTCAAGAAAACCTTTGAATTTGGTGCTCTTTGGCTTGGCGCCCTTTGGAGAGGAGGGGTAGGGGTAAATGATCCCGTGTTGTTCTCCTGAGAGGAAACTTAACTTTGGCGGGGGGGTCTTCCAAATACCCAACATTCCTCCCTGTTTGTTTTTGTGTTGGGAGCAGGGCAATGAGATTTTCTGGCTACTTACTGCTGGAGAGGGACAACAAGTGTGAAGGAAGGGAGGGGTGGTCAGGGTGTGGGGACAAGAGAAGCATAGCTGTAAAGGCCAGGGCACTGAAGATGTGAATTTCCTTGGGGCCGAAATCGATGAAAGTTCCTTGAAGCCATAGGTCTTGGGTAGTCTCGATCCAATTTTTGTCCCTGCAAATGGGGGGAATCAGCCAGATGTCCTGTTGGAGGGCTTCTATGGATTCCAAGAAGCAGGTGCACCACGTGATAACCCTAAAACACCAAAGACACCTGAAGGTAAGGAGAAGAGGAGGAAAGAGGAGACAACACTTTAGCTTCTGGCCAGAAGTCCAGTGAGAGGGACTGGCTGAGAAAAGACCAGCGGTCAGGAGGAGGCACACAAAAGCGAATGGGCCTAGAAACCCTGTGTGACAGCCAAGTGAAGTTCCCTAGTCGTGTTTCCATTTTGTAGCTCCATATTCACGATGGTGAAGTTCCGTCAGCCCTTGGTGAGGCCTTCATGTAAGGGACAGGTTCCTCCAAGTAGCAAGTAGCTAAAAATCCCTGAGGAGAATCTGTTTAAAGGTCTCACTAGATATTTTGTCTGTTTGATCCTGCAGGAATTTTATGATTCATGGTAGAAAATCACAAAACAAGAAAATCCCAATTATTGGGGCCATCTGGGATGTCTGAGGAAGCCGACTTGGTAGGTGTAAGGGAGGTGGATGCCAGGAGGGTGGCAAAAGACACGGGTGGAACTAGAGTGAGGCATGTTGTTGGGAGGGTTTCTCGGGTTGGGGAAGGTCCTCCTTGGGAAGGGGAAAAGGAACCCTCAGGTGTGAGATGTGGAGCTTTAAAGGATTCTCAGGAGTGGTGGAGCAGACATATTTGTAGTTAGGAGGATGGTGGACAGTCAGTCTGGGCTCCCTCAGTCAGAGGCTGGGCCAGTTTAAGCATTGAAACGCAAATCCATGAAGTCAGCTTGCCTGGAACTCCTGTAGGTGGGCAGCAGTGGGAGTGCACAAGATAATCTTTAGAGGGCCCTTCCATTTAGGTGTCAGGGTAGGCATGTCACCAGAAGGAGGAGAGAAACATACCCAGTCGCCTGGGGTTAAGGGGAAAGAAATGTGTGACATGGAGGGATCAGGTAATAGAGTTTCCTGGTGTTTCCAAATCTGTGTTTGGATGAAACTAAGAAGGAGGTGACTGAGATGTTCTGGAAGAATGCAGGGTGAAGGAGTCATCACAGATAGTAGGGGTGGGCTTCCATACATCACCTAAAAAGGAATGTTTGAGTTGGCCTTTTGGGGAATGCCCAAAGGTGAAACAGGGTGACTAGGAGAAATTTGACCCAGTGGAGATGTAGTTTGAGGGAGAGCTTGGTGAGGGTCTCCTTTAGGATGCGGTTAATGTGTTCTACCTTGCCTGAAGAGGTGGGATGATAGCAGATGTGTAGATTCCAGGGAATGTGGAGAGCCTCAGCAATGAGTTGTGTGGTTTGTGAGGTAAACTCGGGCCATTGTCTGATGCCAACAAGTTAGGGACCTCAAATCTTGGGATGACATCTGTGAGCAAAACAAAGGTGACCATGGATTCCCTTTTGTTGGTGGTAGGAAAAGCTTCCCCTCATCCTGGAAGAGGAGATAGAGATACCTCTTGACCCTGGGCATGTGTGTGAAATCCAATTGCCAATCAGATCCTGGAAATTGTCCGCGAGCCTGGTGGGCAGGAAAGGAGCCTGGCCTGAGAAGGGTATTAGGATTGGTTCTTTGACAAATGGTGCAGTTAGTGGTGAGGTCTTATTAAGCCCCTGAACCATAGGTCCAGGGCTGTTTGAAGACTGCTAGTTGGAAGAGGGTATCAAGATTGACAAGGGAAATGCTGAGGGTCCTTAAGATGAATTCCGACAGGGACACACTGAGCCAGTGTGTGGAATTGTCCCAAACTTGAGGGTTTACCTCCGGAGGGAGAGAAGTAGGGGAGCCTATGGATGTGTGGGTTGCTGCTGCAAGGCTGAGGATAAAAGAAAGGGTGGGATGGAGTGTGATGGAGGTATGAAATTTGGCTAAGATGTCCCTTCCCAATAGGGGAATGGGGCCTTGGGGCATTACCAAAAACTGGCGGGAGAAAGGATAGTGGTAAAACGTACAAGAGAGCTTGGGGGTTTTAAGGGGAAGGATTCTATGTCCCTCTACCCCAACAATGGGGGAACAAGATTGAAACAGTGGGTCACCAAAACTCCCTCAAGACTGAATAAGTGGCCCCTGAGTCTAAAAGGAAGTTAATCAGGCGTCCATCCACCATAATAGTGACCCTGGGCTCCCTGAAAGGTGATGGTGGTCGTAGGGGGAAGGGGAGGGGGGCGGGGGGGGGGGGGATAGTTCCAAGGCCCCTTCAGTCGTCTGTTGCCAGCCCCAAAAGATCCAGGGCTGGGCTCAGGGCGGATCTAGCTCCCCTTCGGGGGCCGGGCCAGGCAATCCATGGCCCAGTGACCCATTAATTGGCATTTAGAGTGTGGATGCATAGGTGACTTGGGATTAGGGTACTCTAACAGGGCCCAGGGCCCTCTTGGGTGGTGGGTCTTTGGCCGAAAATGAAGGGGCCCGTGGGGTAGGTCCTCGTAGAACTTGTGCCAGCATTTACTTAAGAATTAGGGCCACTGCCTGGTCAGTCTGAGAGAACAAAAGAATTCCCTAAGTCAGGGGACACAACATGAGGTGAAGGGACCCTCCACAAGGCAGGGAACAAGGGGTGGGGACTTAGAAGGATGACCTAGAAGCTTCAAGTCACAGAAACACACATTTAAATCAGGCCTACATAGGTGAATAAAGCAAACTATTAAGAAGAAAGCATCTGTTCCAGGGTAAACTGCTTATTTAAAATTGTCCAGAGTGTAAACAGAGATCAAGTACACAAGTGAAAACAACAGTCCAGTATAGACCACTTTGAGGCCAACATTTCCATGTCAGAATCAGCATTTTTGAGACTCAGGCTCTGGGAGGATGGAGAATTTGGAATCAAATGATATGCACTGAGGAATTTCCCAGAAGCAGACAAGCTGACACAGATGTTCCAACTCAGGCACCGAGATCCACCCAAAGAGCCAACAGATAGCAATAGAATTTGCCTCTCACAGTGATCACAACAAAACAGAAATGTGAAATCTTACTTACAAATATCTCGAAAATGGATAATGAGCCTGGCCACGAGGGAAAGGTATTCATCCTAAAAGTAAAAACAGGAAGCAGTTTAAATCCAAATGGAGAAGCATAGCCATGTGACTCCCCCATCCCACCCCCTCAACCCTGGCCAACCAGAGGTTCTTCCTTCAAGGCTGCTGGCCTCTGGGGCCAACTGAGATGGCTGCAGTCATTCAGCCCAGCTCAGCCTCCTCTGGAATCCATCTCTCAGAGGAGAGCTGTCAGTGCTCTGCTCTGCTGCTGATAAAAGGCACAAAGAAACAAAGAAAGAAGGGTACAGAGAGCCTTCAAAAGGCACCTCCTCCAAACAAAAGGAAAAATCATTCAGCTGAGAGAGCTGGGAGTCACCTCAAGTCCCTTCTTGTCACAGAGGGCAAAATCAGGTCCAGAGAGGCAAGAAGGTGGCCTAAGGTCAAAGCCTATCAGAAGCAGACGTGTACAGGCCACAGCTGTCTTTACACTACTGGTATGGAAGAGCTTTTGATTTTAATGACCAGCCTGTTGCTGCCTTTCCTTGCAGATGTGGTATGTGCACGCAAATCTGCATGAGGTACCCCTGGGCTGTGCCTGCTGGGAATCCATGTTTCACTGCTAGCTACACAGGCAAGGGAGGGAGCAAAATGCTACTCAAAGGTGACAGGTAAAAGCCACTGACTGCCCAGGCCCTGTCTAAGCTGCCATATTTCTGGAACTGCCCAGAAGGGCCTGTCTTCCACTAACTGTCCTGTGGGCACTCAAGAGTGTTCTGGGGAAATAACTACCAAGAAGGATGTCTGATATAAAATCTTATTTCAGAGAAGCATACTTCTTCTCCATAGAAATATCCATCCTTCTAGCAAGGCAGCCCAGAAGGGGGAAGCCCTTATTCCTATGCTGCTGCACAATCATCCTCCTAAGTCACTGTGGTACTCAGAGTCCACTAGACAGAAGACAAGACAGAAGAGAAAAGGGACAAGAAAATAAACATGAATTGGGTGTGGGTTAAAACCTAAAGATACTGTATTTATATCATTATCACTCTTCACCTATTTCCACACTCCACCCTACTGCTATTTTTCAGCTAGGGTAATTAGAACAGGACAACAGGAAGGAGAAAAGGCCCAATGGAAAGAAGCTGGGAGGAATTGCTGAGGAGAAAAAGGTACAAGGAAGCACTGCTGGAACACAGGGAACCTGAGGGGGTTCTGTCAGTACTCTAACTTCTAATGGCCCCAACAATTTCTAGTAGGAAAGACAACATGCCAGGGGTAGAAGGGACCCCCATACATACTCAGTTGCCTACCAATGCCACGTACCTGAAAGACCTGGGAAGTGGAAGCAATAGAAGTGTGGGAGCCAAAGGAAACCCGGGAATGGAAATGAGGCAGTCAGGTCTAGAGGGAGAGAACTTGGAAGTCAGCCAGTCCACATCTGACTTCTCATTTGGGGACTAGACTACCTTGTAGGTCTGCAATACCTTGAAAGAATCTGTTGAGTTTTCTCTATTATCATGAAAGAAAAACAGGTTTACGCAGACTTAAGACATGATAAATGATGCTCAAGAGCATGTCCCCAATGCCTTCTGCACAGAAGCAGAACCTAGTTACACCCACTGCCAGTAGTCAGATAAGTAGACTTTACCATGCTACAGGTAAGTCACCCTGATGGTCAAGAAACTTTCTAATGGATGAAACACATTTTTTATATTCTCCCAAAAGCAAGTCACACAAGAATATGTGGGGCTAAGTCTATGGGTTAGTTCCAGCATCTGACATTACAGTGCTGATCCCCCAGGGCTAGGCTATCTTTTATGCCCCCAGCTGCTTATTTTCTGCTGTGAATGATGGTACCTAACTTATCTCCTACAGGTGAGAATTTTCAGTCCCTGTTCAGACAGAGAGATAATGGTACTCCCTTGCTCCAAAGCACTCAATTTGCCATAATGGCCCCTGAAAAAAAGGGCAAGGGCAGGTAACTACTACCTTATCTTCCTTCCAACTCCTCTGCTCATTATCAAAAATTTAAAGTGACCAGGCTACACCCAAGTCTGTTATTACAAGACCATAAACAATAATACCATAAGGGCTGGGGTTGTGGCTCAGTGGTAGAGCACTTGCCTGGCACGTGTGAGGCACTGGGTTTGATCCTCGGCACCATATAAAAATAAATAAATAAAAAGAAGGTATTGTATCAATCTACAACCCCCCCAAAATATTTAAAAAAATAACTCCATAACAAGAGCAGCCAACACTCAAGACACTCACCCCTGACAAAACTCCTCTAAAGACTACACATATATCGAGTTCCGGCAGAGAGCGTGGTGAGAAACGGGAGTGCGGCCTGCTCCCCGGGGCCCTCTGGGACCCCCCCGGCCCCAGGCCGGCGGGTGCACTGGGGGGCCCGAGGACAGAACGCGGCCTCTCCTGCAGATCCCCGGAGCTCCTGCTGCGAGTGCCCACTGGCTGGCCCTGGCTGTGAAGGACCGGTGAACCTGCTGTTACCGCTGTTGACCAGTGACGAGTTCTTGCTTCCCCAATGTTGAAGAATAACACCAAAGAAGCACGCCGAGGCAAGGTCAGAGTAGAAATTAGAAGTTTATTAAAGGACAGCAGAAAAGACTTCTCCTGGAGGAAGAAGGGGACCCAAGAGGTGGAATCCATGGAAGGGATGTTGTCTCCCCTTTTTATAGTTCTTTCAGTAATGGAATGTAGGTGGGAAGGACCGAGGGGTGGGACACAGGTGGGCCAAAGAAGTAATCTGGTCAGGAAGGACTGAGTCAGCACCTTTTTGCTGGGGGCTGTTCATTAACATTTCTTTGAGGTGGACTTTGGCCTAGGGCCTTTTCGGACTTCATTAACATTCCTTGAGTTTCCCGGAATCATTGCCAGCATGGCCTCCATTTTAGATTTCACTCGGTATTAGACCCGATTTACCTAACTACACTGACTACCTAACTTTAAATCTGGCTTCACTGCCACCCAGATGGATGACCTGATGGCGGCGGCGACCTGTCGGGCCCCGGACCCCGAGGGCTGCCGGGTCTTCTGGCTCAATCATGCCCGTCCCAGCTGAAGCCGCCACCTGGGACGTGGCGCCTTTGGGTGGCGGCGGGCGTGGCATGGCGAGAAGAATGGCGGCCGCCCAAACGCCGCGGAGGCCGGCAGGGGCTTCAAGGTCCCAAGAAGGAGGATGGACGCCTGAAAGCTCGACCACCCATTGGACAGCGGAGCCGCACAGACCAGGGCTCTCCGTGAGCGCTCAGTGCCGGCTCCTCGAGACCGCACCTTGTCTTGGCCAACAAAGACCGGAACCGTCCTGGAAGGTGAGCGAAGCCCCGGAAGACGACAACGGGTGGAACGGTTAGCGGCCTCGGGCGGTTGGTGTTCGTTCTACCAAAGAGAGAAACGGTAGTCACAAGCCGCATCTACCCAGTTGGAAACGCCCGCCACCCTTTGGGGAGATTTCCTGGCCCTTTGTAAAAGGCCTGTGTATATAATATGAAAAAGCTGCTCTGAACTTGCCCCCCAACCTTTTAAAACTTGTGCTGCATCTGGACATTCTAAATGTAAAGAGGATGCCTGACGCATGATAGAGTTAGAAAATAACGTCTTGTAAATGTCCGTTTGTTTGAAAAAATCAGAAATGTTTTCTGGAAGTGACTTTGAAATGAATTTGTTAGACCACCTCTAGGAGCGACACTTGTCCACGTTTGTTCAGTGGGTTGTTGGACATGGAGAAGACTGACCGTGAGAAGGAGGTCCTGTGCCAGTCTGGTTTTACGTAAAAAACATTTTTCATATAATAACCATTGTTTTGCGTGTGCATTTTATTACTCATTAGTGTATATATAGTTGAAAATGCTAAATATTTTTTTTTTAAATATCTAGGTTTTCTAGATGTTCTAAAGTGCCTGATATATGTTAAAAGTAGAAGTGGTAAAATATATGACACATTTTGTAAATTTATTTTGTTAAAATTCTTATGAAATGGTTTCTTTTGGGGGGGGGGGTGCAATAGCCAAACCCCTGTTGAATAGTACAGTTGTGTGCTGGTCCTGGGGAGCACCGTGCCAGTGTGCTTACCGAGAGCCAAGAGTTGTCTGGGTTTTGTTTTACTTTGCTGTGTACATAGTGTATATAAAGGACAAATGAGTCCTCCTAATCTACATCTAGCCTTTCTAGATGTTAAAGAGGTTGCCAGTGTATGACAAAAGTAGAATTAGTAAACCAGTTTTGAATATTTTGTGTTAAAATTCCTAGGAAAGATTGTCTTCTGAAAATTTTGAGCATTATAGCCCACTGGGTCGGTGAAGGGCCAGAATGCTCATATTTTGAAGACATTTTCAAATTAGAACTATTGTTACATGTGTGCAGTGTATTCAAGACTGTCATGTACATAGTGGACAAATTGAGTCCTTACTTGAAACATCTAGTCTTGTCTAGATGTTTAGAAGTGCCCGATGTATGTTAAACGTAGAGGTAGTAAAATATCACTTTGTAAATATCTTTTTGCTAAAATTCATATGAAATAGTCTTTTGGGAATGGAACTATTAAACCACCTCTGTGAGCGGTATACTACTGTCTGTATTTGCTCAGTGATGTGGAGGAGGTGGGAGGGAAGCAATTGCAAAAGGTTAGTGTGTTCATATTTGGACATTTTCAGACATCAGTTTTCTATGTTTTGTGCATTTTGTTTTTGCTGTGTATATAGTGTATATAATGGACAAATAAGTCCCAATTTTGTAACATCTAGTCTCTAGATGTTAAAGAGGTTGCCAGTGTATGACCAAGTAGTTAGTAAAATTAGAACATTTTGTACATTTTTTTGTTGAAATTCATAGGAAAGCTTGTCCTCTGTAAAAAGACTTTTGGATATGGATTTGTTCGACCATCTCTAAGTGTTATATATGCCTGTACTTGTCCACTGGACTGAAAATAGAAGGAAATGAGGAGGGAGAGGTTCAAGGACAAAATGGTCATATTAAAAGATACCTCATATTTAAAAAAAAAAAAAAAAAAAAAAAGACTACACATATATCGATGCTTTTAAATCCCCCAACCATCTAGTGCTGCTGATATGTCCAGATCAGAGAAAATGAAAGCATTAAAAAAAAAAAAAGCTTGATGGCTGGGATTGTGGTAGAGCGCTAGCCTCACATCTGTGAGGGCACAGGGTTTGATTCTCAGCACCGCATATAAATAAATGAGTAAAATAAAAGTCGATCCACATTAAAAAAAATATATATATTTAAAAAAAAAAAAAAGGCTCAAGGCATCTGAGAAGGTAGCCTAGTGGTAGAGCATGTACTTAACATGTGTGAGGCTCCAAGTTTGATCCCTGGCACACCACAAACACACACATACAAGCTTAAGACTCTGAACATATGCTTGATGTATGCAAGTCTTGCTTGTTCTCTCCCCCTAGACCTGTCTGCCTCATTTCCATTCCCAGGTTTCCTTTGGCTCCTACACTTCTATTGCTTCCACTTACCAGGAAGGCTCAAAAATATGCAATGGAGTGAGCCTCAGAGACAGTGGGAGAAGTTTGCACACTCCTTATAAAATACCATCAACTATGTACTCTGTTACTAAATGCTGCCTTTTGTATAAGACCTGGGAAGTCCAAATCACTTAAATCTGTCAAAAAAAATACTGGAAGAATAAACCAAAATCATGGGTTAAAAAAGGAAGATGAGCCTTTTCCAAACCTACTGGTCTTTGCCATGAAAACATGTAAATCTTTCACCACGGAAAAGATAAAACAAAATGGTGGCACATACCTATAATCCCAGCAGCTCAGGAGGCTGAGACAGGAGGATCCCAAGTTCAAAGCCAGCCTCAGCAACTTAACCCTAAACAACTCAGTGAGACTCTGTCTCTAAATAGAATATAAAAAAGTTCTGGGGATGTGGCTGAGTGGTCATATACCCCTGAGTTCAATTGTTGGTACCCCCCTGAAAAGGAAAAAGAAAACAGCAAAATTCCCCCCAAATTCAAAATCAACCAAAACAAATGAGTTAACTATCAAGTCAGTGGTAGAAACATACAGGGTAAAGAATTCCGTTGAGTAGCCTTTTTTAAAAAAAGGGAACAAAAAACCTAAACATGCTACAAGGCGTACATTTTAAAGGACAAAGCTGCAAAATAATCTCAAACTTTTAGTCCACAATTTGTTACTAGTGGTATTAAGCCATTTATTCTGAAACCCTTTGAGAGTAAAGCAAGCAATTATGCTAATGATATTGAAAAACAAGATGTTCATAGTAACAGAAAAGACATGGTTTAAAACCAAAGTAAAAATCCTGCAAAGGTAATCTGAATTAGAAACATCACTTTAATAATACCTGGCTTTTTTTTTTCCCCCTTTTAATTTTGAAACAGGGTCTCATGAAGTTGCTGAGGCTAGCCACAAATTTGCAATCTTCCTGCTTCAGCCTCCCAAACTGCTGGGATTACAGGTATGCACCACCACACCTGACTTATGGGGCATTTCTGTTATTTCAAAAACATGTATTTCTTAGTTCTATTCACAAAAAGGCCCAAAAGCAATGAGCAGAGCTGAGTCCACAATTGCATGCACTGAATGGCATTTTACCCTCAAAAAAGGATTCAGGGATCCTTAGAGGAACAGGCAATCCCAGGGCCTAAATACCAGCAAGCTAGAAAAGACTAAAAGGGTTATGTAAGGAGCCCTAAGAGTGCAGGGGGCATGGGAGCTACCACTGAAGGAGGACAGGACCATCAATGCAAACTACTACAATGAACTGAAATACACCAAATACACATCCCTGAAGTTAAAACGTTGCTCAAAGAAGAGAACCCATCTGTGGCCCCCTGAGGACACTCTTTGCCCTGGAAGGAATAATTACAGCATTCCTGGTGGTCTAGAACAAGTAATATTTAAAAAAAAAAAAAAATTCCTCCCTGATGACAGAAAATGCTTCTTTGACAGAAAAACTTCCATGTGATAAATATGGAAGAGCCAGAATTAAAGACAGTTACCATTTTGCAATCCTTAATTAAACAATAGAATTATTGGATAATGGAGAACTTTACTAGGAGTCAGGCTGCCACCCCTCTAAACCCCCAACAACTGTGCCTCACTGAAGCTCAAGTCACCCAGAAATATCAGAAAAGGTCATCTTGGGTCCATTCTTGCTAACAAGACTGTACCCCTCTGTTCTTTCATTCTAGAACCCAGTTCACAATGAGGGGGCAGGCAGGAGTGAGCAAGGCATCAGGGACCAAGCAGAAGACTGCTGGGTTTTTTTTTTTTTTTACAGGCTGAGAGAGGCCTGAGGGGAGAACAGACCCTCATTTGGATCCTGATTCATATAAACCAACTGCTCGGAAAAAACTGCTGAGACGTGAACAAGGCCTTTACGTTGACTGAGGTTGGGTTATTGTTAAGTGGGGCCCTGGTGTGTGTCCTGTGTGGAGAAACTCTCCATTTGCAGGGATATAACACCATGAAAGCTGAGACCTGCCTTGAACAATTCAAGAGAGACCCAGACAGGCCAAACTGCAACAACTTCAGGCTCCACGAGTCTGGACATTTATGTCTCTGAAAGTTTTCCTAATACATTTAAAAATGTGTCAAACCTCAGAGGGAATTCTCATCCAAGGCAGCCCCAACAACATCCCTTACCCTTACCCACTCAAGGAAACCACGCTGCATTGACCTTGCTACCAAGGACAGATAGACACATTCTCTACAACTTTCACTGATTCCATTTTTAAAAATATAGAAGTTTTAGCTGGGCATGATGACACATGCCTGTAATCCCACAAGTTTGGAGGCAGAGGCATGAGGATCATAAGTTCAAACTCAGCCTCAAAGCCAACCTCAGCAACTTAGCAAGGCTCTGAGTAACTTAGTGAGAACCTGTCTCAAAACAAAAACTAAACAAAAATATATATACGTGTGTGTGTTATACATACACACACACACACACACACAGAAATATAATCGTTTTATTAAAATATAATTCACTTTCCATAAAGTCTACCCATTTAATGTATACCATTCAGTAGTTTAATATATATATATATGTATGTATTTATTTATTTGTAGTCGGACTCAATACCTTTATTTTATTTATTTATTTTTAAGTGGGGCTGGGGATCGAACCCAGGGCCTCGAATATGCTAGAGAAGTGCTCTACCTCTGAGCCACAACCTCAGCCCCATCAGTAGGCAATCACTAGTCAACTTTCCATCTTTAGTGGGCGAAATAATAGGCCCCAATATACCAGGTCTGATCCCCTGGAACCCTGTAAGTGTTTCCTTATTTGAGAAAGGGTTTTTGCAGATGTGCTTAACGATCTTGAGAAAGGGGAGCGCACTTAACTGCAATCATAAAACCTCATGATGCGGCGGCAGAAAGGAATTTCACACTCAGAGAAGAAGGTGATGTTAAGATAGAGCAGAGAGACATTTTACCATATGATGCTGAGTCTTGAAGCCTGCCATGACACATTCATATACCAAGAGACACCAGCAGCTACCAACTACTGGAAGATGAAAGGAAAATCGTCCCTGAGAGCCTTAGAGGGAATACAGACTTACCAACATGGTGATTTCTGACCAGTGATATTCATTTTTAGACTTTTGGACTTTAAAATAAGAGAAACTAGATTTGTTCAAATTACGTATGTATGCATTCACTTATTTATTTACTTTTTTATGACATGGTTTCCTGATAGGAATGGGGATGTAGCTCAGTGATAAAGCAGCCTTGAGCTCAATTCCTAGCACTGCAAAGAATAAAACAAAAAAAACCAAAAAACCCAACAAAGAGAACAAGAGAGAATCCAAGTATGCACAAGTCAACAAACGAGCTAAGCATCATGCATCCTTTGACTTGCCCTGTACTTGTTTTTTTCCACAGGTAAAATAGGGAGAATGTGCTCTCTAGATGTTTGTAAAATGTTTCTCTAGGGCCTGGATACATTCATACATACAGCTCCTGAAAACTGAACAATTAGAATTTAAAATTAGGCTTGTGAACAAATGTTTACTAAAGGCAGTGCAGAAGTCCTGACAGTTATACATTTAGATGAAACTCATCAAAGCAAAGCAACACTGCTAATGGTGATAAGAACACTGGAGACTCCTCATGAACCAGCAGCACCAAGCACAATCCCAGGACTTTCTAGGAGATCTCAACAGTTAAGAAAATGCTTATCTTGGGCTGGGATTATAGCTCAGTGGTAAAGCACTAACCTAGTACATGTGAGACACTGGGTTTGATCCTCAGTACCACATAAAAATAAATAAAAATAAAGACATTGTGCCCATTTATAACTAAAAGGAAAAAGAAAGAAAGAGGGGGGGGGGAGAGGGAGGGAGGGAGGGGGGGAGGGAATATACCCAATAAGCATCTTTCCATACTGCCCCTTTAGGTGATGACAGGTGCCAGGACCCCTGACTACTAAATCTTCCTGAACTATCAGAAGGCTGCCTGGAATGCATGGAGTTGTTATTATGAACTATGGCCCACCACCCAGGCATGGCTATTTTTGTTTCCCTCAACTCCTTCACAAAGAGGAGTCCCATCCATAAGAATTAAAGTCTTCAAGGATTAAAGTGGGTGTCTGTATGTCTTTTGCTTTGCTGGGTGGGAGTCAATGAGAAACATGGCTAAAAGCGTCCACTCTGACACCAGACCCCTAGGATTACAACCCAGCTCTCCTCTAACCAGCCATATGATATTTTGAGCAGGGCAATTAGCATATGTGTGACTGAATTTCCTTGTATGTTGACTGGGAAAAACAATACTGTACCCACTTTATAGGTGTAAGTGGGGCTCAAAGAGATTCTTATACATGAAGAACTCAGAAGATGGCCTTGCACGGGGACATCACATTGTAATCTGAAGAGGAGATCTAGCCATGAAACCGAGAGTGAGCCAATGCCAAGATAGGTAGGGCTTTAACTTGGGGAATGAACACTGGAAGCATGTGTCGACTCTGGAAATTTGGTGAATTCTTCTAGAGAAAAACACTCAAGGATTTCTCTGCCCTGGAGTATACACTAAACTGCCTGAAGTGCTCATTAGTTCTCCAGTACCCTTAGAGAGGCATCTTTGAAACTGCAAGCCTATCAGAATTCCAAGGGAAGGTCATCCTCCTTCTCCGTGACTCACTACCTCAGAGCTCCTCTAGGATCCACAGAGATATCATTATTCCCTAACTTTTCCCCTGCTCCAGAGTCCTACTTTTTAATTTTTTTCACAGCTGTTCTACAGGATCTCAGGCAGCAGGGGAGGTTAAAGTGTGCCTGAGTTGCAATTTTGACCTGAAGATAAATACAGACGGCAGTGCCCAAGTATGTCTGTCTCTGTGAAAATGACACAGGAATTTTCCTACACTGTTCTCATAAACACTTCTCTTTCAATTAGCCAGAGCCTCCTTTATAAATTAGGGATTTAGAGCCAACTCAAACAAAGCAAATGGACTGGAATCATTAAGGGGCAGCATAAGTAATTCGATATGCAGTAAATGAAAGACTAAGGCAGAGTGAATGGGGATGGTCAGGGGCTGTTGTGTTTGTAGGCACATACTTTGGGATGGAAGGCTTACTCCTCAGCTGCTAGGAAGGTCTCTGAGGTAGTTTCCATTATAGCTAGGCAATAATCACTGGCCACTGGTCACGCCAAAAGGCAAAGGTGATTTTCCCAACCCTGAATCTTCACTGGACTTAACATTTCCTGTATGCAGATGCACACCTATAATCTCAAAAATTAGAGAGGCTGAGGCAGAAGAACTGAAGTCTGAGGCCAACCCTGGCAACTTAGTCAGCCTGTTTCAAAATAAAAAGTAAAAGGGCTGGAAGGGCTGGGGATATAGCTCAATGGTAGAGTGCCCTTGGGTGAAATCCCCCCCCCTCTCTCTCTCACACACACACACACACACACACAAATTAAATAAATAAATAAATAAAAATCCTATCCACACCTCTGAGGGCTGCCAGCTCCCACTCTTCTTTTTGAAAGCCAGCCACAGTGCTATAATAAAGTCTGAACTCTGCCACTAGAGATACCAGAGTGGAGGCCATACTGGGAAAAGTGACATGCAGTCACCTGAGTGAAGCCTTTATGGACCTTCCAGACTATCCCAGCTACCCTCACTAAGCAACCACATGAGATGTCAGAGAGAAACCCGAACAGTCCAGCTGGGCAATTCCAATTGCTCCTGCTCCTGACTTACAGAATCAGGAGAAACAACTCCCTGCTTTACACTATTAAGTTTTGGAGTTTGTTTGTTATGGATAAACAGTAAACAGTACTTAACAATCTCTATATTTTTAAAGCTGAGATGGTCAGTTCAATAAGCCTCATCAAAGTTCTTTTAATTATAAGAAAATACAAACTAACAAAATCAGTAAAATATCCCATCCCCAAAATATACAAATAAAAAAATAAAAATTAAAAAAACAAACTATTAAAATGAAAAGACCAACAACCCAATTAAAAAACAGGACAAGGGGGGCTGGGGATGTGGCTCAAGCGGTAGCATGCTCGCCTGGCATGCGTACGGCCCGGGTTCGATCCTCAGCACCACATACAAAAAAAAGATGTTGTGTCAGCCAATAACTAAAAAATAATAAATATTAAAATTCTCTCTCTCTCTCTTTAAAAAAAAAAAAAAAAAAACAGGACAAGGGCTAGGGTTGTGGCTCAGCGGTAGAGTGCTAGCCTAGCACATGCGAGGCCCTGGGTTCGATCCTCAGCACCACATAAAATAAATGAAAAAAATAAAGGTATTATGTTTAAATAAATAAATAAATACATAAAAGGACAAGGGTCATGTCTATAATCCCAGCAACACAAGCTGCTGAGGCAAGAGGATTTCAAGTTCAAGGTCAAACTCTCTAGGCAACTTAAAAAGACACTATCGCAAATAATAAATATTAAAATTCTCTCTCTCTCTCTCTTTTTAAAATAAATAAATAAATAAATGGAATATACTAATTCTTACTTAAAAAAATAAAAATAAAAAATAAAAATAAATCAGGTACCTGCTATAACATGGTTCAATCATACACACACACAAAATTCTCCATAAATCACTTTTTTTTTTTTTTTTAAAATAGTGCTCTGGATCAAACCTAGGACCTTAGGCATGCTAGGCAAGTGCTTTAACAATTAACTACAGGCCAGTCCTGTATGACTACATTTATATGAAAAGTTCAGAATGGGAAAATCCATAGCAACAGAAAGTAGAAAAGTGGTTGCTAATGACTGGGGGGAAAATGAGGTGTGACTGCTAATGGTCACCAAGTTTCTTTTGGAAAAATATTCTAAAATTAGATTACAATGATAGTTCTCATAATTCTGAATATCCTAGGCAATTGAACTGTACACCTTAAACAGGTGAACTGTGGAGTATATGAATTCAATCTCAATAATGCTCTTAAAAGAAAAACAAAATATTTATTACACATGTTCACAACAGAAGCCACCCTGCCCCACCTCAATATGCATGCTCTTGGGGCTTTTCCTTAAACAAGTATGTACTCATAAACACATACCACTGTTTCATTTCATTTCATTTCTTCCATTTTGCTTCATTTCTACTAGAAGGGCTCTGCTCTGGGGAGAGCCCATGGAGGAAGCAAGACAATCATATGAAACCCAAGACAAGAGGCCACATTGTAGAAATCCTTCTACCCACTCCACCTATGCGGTCCCAGGGCTCAGATCTTAACTAATATTACCTGCCTCACTTCACAAAAGGGAATAGGTGCACTTCTATATCCATACATTAGAGTCTACAGGGCTCAGGGAGGATCCCTGTTGAGCTGCGGCTCAGGAGAGAATCAGTGCTTACTCCCAGCATTCCCCATTCCATGGGAACAATAGGTTTTGAGGGAGCTCCCTGTAGGATTCATAGGGGCTGGCCACAGATGGAAGATACCAGCAGTGAAGACAACGGCTGCCCACCCAGTATCCTCCTCATTCCATTGACATAGGAGAATGATGCACACAAAGCCAACCATGTCTGTGATTAATCAGTGAGCAATCAAACAACCCACTCCCTAGGACCCTAGCAGAGAGTTCTCAGAATCTGTAACATCTCACTCTATCAAGGGGCTCCACCCAAGGAGGCCTTACCCGGGTCTTGGCCTTCAGGAATACATGGTTCTCCATATCCTTGCTAGATATACTGTGGCCCACACCAGCTGTCCTCATGGCATCCTCACTGAAACACAAAAGAGACATTTACACACAATAGCAAGTCTTAGCCATCAGGCCCTTCATGGTAGCTGCCCCTGGGAGGACCAGGTGCTGTTCCCAGAATGCAGCCTCACTGAGGTCCCATCAAGATATGAAGGGAGGGATGCTCAACAGAGCAATGACAGAAAGCTTAACAAGGGAGTAGAGGACAGGGCCATGAGAAAGAAGGAATAGGAAAGGTGGTCACCATGAAGCAAAAGCAAGCCACTGGCATGACGGGAAAGGGGAACTGTTCCTTAGAGACTGCTCACAACCAACACAGAAACAAGCAAGCATTAGACCACTGGATGGCCAGCCAGTCTCTACTTTCTGCCCTCTGAGTGACCTGGGTGCCTACCCAAACCTGCCACTGAGCACAATGGAACCTCAGTTTCAGAATGTTCCTCTGTAAACTGAAGGGGCCCAAAGAAGTCATCTCTCAGTTCCTCCCAAGGAAAGGGTCCCTATGTGGAATAATTCATGTTCTCCAAACATGACCAAAGAGACCCGCCCCAAACTCAAAAGCTTATAGCTGGGGACAGAAGGAGACAGATCACACAAACGTGAAAAACATCTTTAAAACACATTTACTAACAGAGGTATAACAAGAGAGGAAATCTTTCTAAAGGTTTTATACCACACTGCCACTCCAGGTTATAAAGAATTATATACATGAGCTAAACTCAGTTTTCCCTTGAATGACAGCATACACTACCCTCCTCCATGCCTGCACACATATGTATGCACACATGCATAACACAAACACACAGAGAAAGAACAGGAATGCATTGCTAGAAAGGAAGAAACACGATAGCAGGCTTGAGCTGGGCATCTATCTCCCAAGAGACACGATGGTCTGTTCTGTTCAGTCTGCCTTCTTCCCTGTAGTGTAGGTCTTCTTCCTGCCTGTTTTCCCAGCACTGGACTTGCTAATAAACAAACAAACAAGACTTGTCAGGGCTCTGTGGCCTCACTTGAATGGAATAAATAAACCAGCCCAGTCCATCTGGTGGTTGAAAACACCCTCACCACTCCAAACCCAAACAGGGTACTAAAGAATGCGCATATGGGGCTGCAGCATCACTCTTGTGATCTCTAAAGAAATCACAGAAAGATGGACTGAGGTTGTGGCTCAGTGGTAGAGCACTGGCGTAGTGCATGGAGGCCCTGGGTTGGATCCTCAGTACCACATATAAATAAATAAATAAACAACTAACGAACTAAAGGTATTGTGTTCAACTAAAACTAAAAAATAAATATTAAAAAAAAATCACAGAAAGAAAAGGGACTGGGGTTGTGGCTCAGTGGTATTGTGCTTGCCTATCATGTGTGAGGCACTGGGTTCGATCCTCAGCACCACATTAAAAAAATTAATAAATAAAGTTATATTTAAAAAAATCACAGAAAGGAGGATTCATGCTAAGAGATGTACAAACCGGTTTTGATGTAAATAAAAATAAAAGAATGTTGACCCGTTGCATTATTAGATCCTTCATTCAACAAGCATGGTTGAAGTCTCTACCTCTCCTGCTTCCGAAAGCCCGCAGCAGAAACCTGTTGCTGCCAAATGAGGCAGCAACAGGTTCCTGCTTGCAAGGCATCCAGGGGTGGAGCAGAAGCATGAGTGGAAAAGTCCACAGGTTCACAAGAGAAGTGAGTGGAATGATATAAAACTGTAACATGAGAACCAGCCCACATGCAACGCAGGATCAGATTTACAGGTAAGCACAGCAAAGGCACAACACAGGCAAGAGGGCTGGTGAGGACCTGGTGGGCACTGCTGAGGCCAGCATGGCACAGGTTGATCTCAACACCCAAAGGAAACTTTTAATGTTCCCCCAGCCCTGACACTTCTCCAGCCCTCCCTCCTGAGTGGTGATGAGGGTTATCCTTTGAGATTTCACCTAGAAATAACTCAAATGCTTCAATAAAATGCTGTTCAATGATTCTGCAAAGTCTGCAGACCTCTCCAGAGGCTATGCTGTGGTGATACCAAGGAGCCACTAACACTACAGTCCCCACTTCTTCCACAGTACTAAGGATTCCCAGAATTCTGCCAGCTTCATTTCTTCCACACTGCTTCATCCTCCCCCCAGTTAGTCATCCAGGATTGTCCACAAGCTTCCCTTTCTCTGGAATCCTGTCTTCAGTTTCTACCCTAAGCAGGCCTTTATAATCTACTGTCTAATGAAGTCATCCCACAACGATTTTACAGATAAATGTGATAGACAGTAATCTAGCAGAGGGGAAAACAGGATGAAGGACAGGTGTGTGTCCCCCAAGAGCTTAATAAAACTCCCCAAACAGGCTAAATGCCTATCTTCTGTTCTTGATTCATTTCCAAGGACTGGATCTTCCCAACACGACCTGCATTTCACCACCTCAAAGTAGGCCACTTATCAAATACAGGCTAAACTCCTTAGCACAACACTCCCATCACTATCATGACAGCACTGGATTATCTCATCCATTATCTCCAGGATGTCCTTACTCCTCAACCCTAGAACTCTCAGTCCCAACAAGGTTCTTTATGCAATTAATTTCTCTCATTTCCCCAATCTTCTACTTGGAATGGTAGTATTTCACACTCCTACAAGCCTTGCTAGGACTCAGTTTGTTCATCACCTACTCCACAAGGGTGCTCCTGGTCAGTTAACTGCGACTTTACAAGAAGCCCCTGCAGCACCCACAGCCTAAGGGAGCAAACTGCAAGGAACTGTTTCTTTACTGACAGTTCCATCTCCCAGGGCAGTGGTTGTGTTTCTGGCAATTCTGTGGTGAGCACAACTCTCCAGTAAGCTCAGTTAAAAACTGCTAAATTAAACAAGTACTCAGTGGTGAGGGACTGGAGTTCCGTTGGGAGGAGACACCAACTCCAGTTCTTCACCCCCTCCTCTGGAATCAAAGATCACTTCCTGACAGCTGCTTCCTGCCACCCTTTGGCCAAGTTCCTACTACTCTGACGGGTCATCCTTAGCTTCTCAGTCCCTACCGCCCACAGCTCACACACACACTCTTTCTTCCCCTCCCCCCCCCAAAAAAAATCCTGAAGTGCTTTTCTGGAAGAGAAACCACGAAACACCTGGTAAAACCACTACGGGCTGCCTCTTTCCCTTTCCGTATCCAGTGTGAACCAAAGCGGGTGAAAGTCCGCACCCAAAGCACACAAATGACGAATGAGAAAACCCAGGACGATGACTCATAAGCCAAGGCTCCATGGTTTGCAGAGTTCCTCCCCAGGAAAGTTAACAAGCAGCCTTACCCGCCAACAAAGGGGGTAACCACCGAGGGCCACGCCCTTGGGCTCACGAAAGTCGTGAGTGCCTTTGTTCTCTAGGTGCCCTGGAGACCCCGCAGTTCCCGGGCCCGAGGTCTAGAACTGGGTCCAGCCTCGGCCTCGGCCTCGGCCTCGCCCACCGCGCGGAAAAGGAATGTCCAGCCATCCAGTCCCCGGCCTGGGCCCCGGCCCCTACTCACATTTGACTAACCAGCTTCTGCCGGAAGGCGGCGCTCCGCCAATCGGTTTCCTGCCCCCATACGTCCATGCCGGTAACCCAGTTCCCACAAACTGCGTCTCACCCCTCCTCCTCCGCCGCCGCCGCTGCTGCTGCTGCCGCCTCTACCGTAGAGCCAGGCCCAAACCCGGAACACGTCCGCCGGTCCTTGGCCGCACCGGAAGTAGCGCAGGATTGTGGGAAATGTAGTCACGCGCGAGGGCCTACAGGAAATGGAGTTCTCCTTACCTGTTAGCTTTCCCAGCCCCTGACATCAGGGAGTCACGCGCCCTCTCACAGAGCGGCGGTCTTTCGTGGCCTGTACCCTATGTGTCTGGAGCTGGAGAGTGGTTGCTGCGTGCAACTCCTAGTGCTGTCGGTGGAGGGGCTGGCCTTTAACATTTTCTATGACCCTACTGTGTTTTGTCCTCTTAAGTCCTCGAGGTCTGAATCCCTCAGGAGTAGCTAGACAAACTGCTAGTCAGCTGTCTTCAGCAATACCTGGGAGAGGGTGTTTTCTTTTTTTTCTTCTTTTTTGGGGGATCGAACCCAGGGGTACTTTACCACTGAGCTACATTTCCAAACCCTTTTAAAAATATCGAGACAGGGTCTTGCTAAGTTGTCCACGCTGCCCTTGAACTTGTGATCCTCCTGTCTCAGCCTCCCTAGTCTCTACTCCAGAGAGAGGGTGCTTCTTTATCAAATAGGTGTGTGAAAGGTTCTGTTCCCTGCCTTCCTGTGACTGCCAGCATTGCGTCTGGTAACTCACTGAGGAGTGAATTACCAGATACTCTTGTGATGCTTCTTTCCATTGGACCTGTAATCTCAGATTCCACCCATGGCTTTATTTTGTGACAAACCTCGTTTGTTAATTTTCGGAGTCTTTGTAAAGGACGATGGAAAAGCTCCTTAAACTCAACAAGCCAAAACAACTGTTTACCTGTCTGAGATTTTATTAGCAGGACTGTAGCGGCCAGTTGCAGAAGAGAAGGGAGGAGAGAGAGAGGAGAGGGGGGGAGAGAGAGGGGGGGGGAGAAAGGAGAGGGGGGAGAGAGAGGGGAGGGGGAGAGGGGGGGGAGAGAGAGGGGAGGGGGAGAGAGTAAGAGTAAGAGAGAGTAAGAGTAAGGGAACCAACCCGAACAGGGTATTGATATTTATGGGCTTAACACAGGATGAGGAGGAGCAAGGCGAGTGGGCTGTTACTTCTTTATTGGCTGAGAGTTCACACCACTTCAGAGATTGGAGGTGCGCCATTCACAGGGATTGGAGGTGATGGTTCACGCGCCATTCAGTGCATCATGGACCTGAGCTCCGGGAAGAGAAGTGCTCTGGGCGCCAACTTTCCTGAGCTCCTGGAAGAGAAGCACTCCGGGCGCAATCTTTACCAACATTCCTCCCTTTTTTGTTTTGGTTTGGGGGCATTGTACTAGATCTGGCTACTTCCTGCTGAGTAGGGGCGTTGTGTAGAGGGAGGGAGGTCAGTTGGTTGGAGAACAAGGGCCAGAAGGCCCCGTATCCATGCGCTGAAGGCATCAGTTTCCTCTGGGGAGAAGTCCATAAATGTGCCCTGCGGCTATGAAAAGAAACAGCATTAATTTCTGTCATGTGGTCCAGTCTGTAGGGCTGGTAGAAAAAGCCTATGCCCAGGAGAAGGCAGATTAGAACATATAAAGCTTAAAACCAAGGGCTTATTTCTTTGGCATGGTGGGGTAGAGATGGCCCTTCGGTGGAGTTGTCATTTGGTATCTTCATCTTTCAGCACTCGGTGAAGGTTTCTTGGGATGACTAGATGTGCATGTCCTCTGGCTCATTGGCAAGTAGCTGGTAATCCCTGAGGAGGAGCTGATTGAAAGTTTGGTTAGAGACTTTGTTAAATTTGTCCTTGAAGGAATTTTAAAATGCAAGGAAGGAAGGCACAGAACAAAAAGACCAACTAGAGGTCCCAGTATAGAGAGAATCCAGCAGCTGACAGGGTTTGTGAAGAGGTCCCAATAGGATTGTTGTGCCAATTGCTGATTTCTAAAAAGGGTGTGGGTGTACTGTGTTGCTGTGGGTTCCTAGATCCTATCTGGAGGCCCATTCTTATGTGTGTTCTCCTCTGGAATGGGATGAAGGGTGGTGCGTGACTGTGAAAAACAGAGCTTGAGAGGGTTATCTGGGGATATCTCACAGGTAAATCTGGGCGATTGTGGGGGTCCTGCAAGGTTGGGAGCTGTGGTGGGATTGTCCTCTGGAGGGCTTGCCACCATTTTTAACCTAGAAATATGAATCCAGGGGGTTTCTTTCCTTCCTGTTGGAGTTTTGCAGCATTGGGTGTACACAGGACTACCTGTAATGGCCCTTCCCATTTTGGGGTTAGGGGAGATCTTTCCCCTGGGTAAGAAAAGTAGACCCATTCTCCTGGTTTGAGCGGAAAGGTGACAGCTGAGTTCTCTGGATCTGGAAGCAACCAATCTTGTTGCTTCCATAGCTCAGAGCATATAAGGAAGAGGAGGTGAAGAGTATATTGGTCGGGGAGGGGCCAAGGCTCTGGTGAGATTCCTGTGGGGAGAAGGGGATGACAATACATTATCTCAAAGGGGGAAGCAAGGGATGGCTTTTTTGGTAAAGCCCTCATGTGTAGTAGGGCAAGAGGGAGGAGTTTAACCCAATCTAAATGAGTCTCTAAAGATAGTTTCGTTATGATGTCTTTCATTGTGTGGTTGGCTTGCTCAACCTTACCTGAGGCTTGGGGATGATAGGGACAATGAAAGTGCCATGGGATGGACAATGTCTTTGCCACATTCTGGGTTACTTGAGAGACAAACTCAGGCCCATTGTTAGATTGGATTGAAGCAGGCTTCCCAAACAGAGGGATTACTTTGGTTAGGAGGATGTTAGCAACTGTGGTAGCCCGCTTATTTGAGGTGGGGAAGGCCTCTACCCAACCCGAGAATATGTCTATTAAAACTAGTATGTATTTGAAGTTTTTTACTATGGGCATGTTGGTAAAGTCAATTTGCCAATCTGCCCCGGGAATATGGCCCCTAGCCTGGTGAAAAGGGAAGGTTCCAGGTTTTAAAGATGTATTGGAATTCATTCTTTTGCATATCTGGCATGAGGCTGTGATTTGCTGTATCACTTCTTTATCCTGGGGAGTCAGAGTAAAGAAAGAGTGGAGAAAGGCTTTGAGAGTCTGTGGACTGGTGTGGAAAATGGAGTGGAGGTAAGTAAAGAGGGCATGTTTAGGTGGGTCTCCATTATTGGGTAATGATGGAGAGCACGTGGCAATGAGAGATCCAGTGAGGTCTGAAAGGGCGGCTGACCTGGCTGCCTGATATGATTTAGAATTCCCCTGTGTGATGGGGGAGGAGTCATTTTGGTGTGATCTGCAATGGACAACTCCAAGTTTTTTAGGACGCTAGGAGGCTTGTAGTAGCTGGGTGATGTATGTGGAACTGGTTATGGAGGTTCCCTTTGAGTTCAGGAGACCTCTCTCCTTCCAAATTGCTGCATGAGATAAAAGAATGTGGAAAACATATTTGGAATCAGTATAAAGCGTAAGATTTTTCCCTGCTGCCAATTCTCAGGCTCGCGTTGCAGCTACCAGCTCAGCCTGTTGGTTGGTGGTATTTGCAGGCAGGGGATTGGCTTCTATTACTCGTGATAGGGACACTATGGCATATCCAGCTTTTCTGATCCCCTCATGCATAAAGGAGCTGCCATCAGTGAACCAGGTGTAATCAGGTTGGTCTAGAGGTCCCTCAGTGATATTAATTGGGCATGGGAGGAAGTTTTCTAGAATTTCCCTGCATTTATGTATTGGGGACTGTGTTTGACCTTGGGCCTGAATAGGTAACAGAGTTGCCGGGTTGAGAGGGGTGCAGGTTTGGAAGGACACGGAGGAGTCGTAGAGGAAAGAGACCAAGAGAGAGAGAATTCGACAGGGAGGGAGGGTTTGCAGTCCTTTGTATGTTAGCAAGTCCGTGAGGTGACAAGGGGAGGTGACAGTGATTTGGGCTCCAAAGGTAAGCTTTTGTGATTCCTTTAATAAAACATAGGAGGCCGCTAGGGCGAGGAGACAAGGAGCCCATCCCCGGACAGTTGGATCTAACTGTTTTGAAACTTATGCCACTGGAGCAAAGGTGGGCCCATACATTTGTCCCAGCACCCCCAAGCCTTGCCCTTTGTTTTCATGAACATCTGGCAGGTGTAGAGCTGGTGCTTGTAAGAGGACCTTCTGGAGGGTTCTGAAATGTGGTGTTGCTGAAAGTAACAAGGGCTCATGCTTGTTCCCCTTTGCTAGATCATATAATGGTTTGGCAAGTAATGAGAAATCTGGTACCCATGCCCTAAAATAGCCTGCCAGACCCAGGAACGAGAGAATCTCCTCTTTAGTTTTTGGTACTGGAAGGGTTTCAATAAGGCCTTTTCTATCAGTTGTGATAGCTTTCTTTCCTGGGGAAATGTGGAACCCTAAGTAAACAACCTCAGAGAGAGAGCTGCACCTTTTGCAGAGAAACCCTATATCCTCGGTGAGCAAGAAAATTCAGAAGGGTGGCTGTGTCCGACTTTGAGGTGTCTAATGAGGGACTACAGAGGAGGAGGTCATCAACATATTGTAGGAGGGATGAATCAGGGCATAGAGGGAAAAAATCCTCAAGATCTCCAGTGAGGACTTGTCCAAAAATATGTGGGTTGTCTCGAAACCCCTGGGGCAGGACAGTCCAGGTTAACTGTTGGCAATGTCTAGTTTCTGGGTCAGTCCAGGTGAAGGCAAATATGTCTTGGGAAAAGGCAGAGAGTGGAATCGAAAAGAAGGCATCTTTAAGATCAATAACTGAAAAATAGATGGAGTTAGCAGGAATGGAGGAAAGGATAGTATAAGGGTTTGGAACCAGGGGATGTATGGGCCTGGTTTAAGAATTTATTAACTTTAAATCCTGCACCAAACGGTATGTTCCATTAGGCTTTTTTACTGCTAAAATTGGGGTATTGAATGGAGAGTGTGTGGGACCGAGGAACTCCTTTCTTAGTAAGCTCTGAATGATTGGCTTTAGGCCCTTAAGACTGGCAGTTGGCAGTGGGTATTGAGCCTGGTTTGGGAAGTGGTTAGGGTCTTTAAGATGCACTTCCACGGGAGAACAATTTGCAGAGGATGGGGTTTCAGTGTCCCATACAATTGGATCTACCA